ATGTGCCAATACCAGTGGCTGGGGGAATAGGAGGCATAGCAGTCACTGGACTTACAAAACAGGAAGCCAAAGAGAATTAACAGTTTGATTTGAAAATGAATAGGCTATTTCAGAACAACTACTGAGTGAACCAGAAGATGGATGACCTATTCCGTGAAGGTAGGAAATCAGCAACAAGGACATGTCAAGAAGTTTTTGCCCGGAGTTCTGATTTAAAGTGGAACTTAACTCTCTCAATCTACATTGACTATTTTTTATCCTTATGCTACTAATATTGGTAAATAGATAGGAAAGTATAATATGTTTATTTGTTTCAAACTTTTTTTTTTCACATTTCTTTAGTTATTTTCTGGGTTCCATGTTTAGGTAAAAGATATCAAATATCCCATGAGTCTTAAGGAGGGGCTTTCTGAGCTGAGCACACCCTCCTGCCTGAGCTAAGGGCAGATGGATTCCAGGAAGTAAATGACCTTACTTCCCACCCAAAAGGGGAAGTTCCGCTTTAAGTCTTTGTCCCCAGCTTCCCATTAAGGATTGGCACCTTTGGGGAGCGGGTACCCGAATTTGACAGGTACCTGCTCCCACTTCAGCTGCGATCGCCTAAGGCCATCATCCATCTTGTTAAAAGGTTGAGAAAAGCTGTATAAGCACTATTGTGCTACTTAATTAAAGTGTTTTATTAAAAAAACTTTTTTTACCTCAATGCATTCTCTGTATTAAGGTAAAACCCCCGCCCACTAGTAAAACACTCCCCTCACACAGTTAACCCTTTGATTGCCTAAAAAAGTTAATCCCTTCCACCCCAGTGCCATTAGTACAGTGCCTCACCTGCCTAAATACTTTCTTAGTCCTATCTCGATCCAGCGCTTGTGGTTGAATTAGTTTTTATATGAGAGTTCAATAACTCATTCCTGACACACAAAAGATTTTGATGCACAGCATGTTGTGAATGAGATTGGGTTGACTTTTTCAGTGTTTATGCAGGCTGTTTCTTAGCTATTGTTTTTTTAACAGCTTTATCAAAATTATGTGGGTTCAAATTCCTTGCAAGCCTTTTTCTTTCCTCCCCCCCCCTTTTTTTTTTTTAGTATGTTCAGCTTGTAGATGCATAGAATGTACTTTCTATAGAATTAAATTTAAGTTAACCATACCATTTAACCACTTCCCGACCGGCCGTTGTATATAAACGGCCGGACGGGGGCACTGCAGGGTCGGCTGGCCGTTTATAAACGGCCTCCCCGCACCCTGCTTGTGCGCGCTCCCCGGGAGCGCGCAGCACCACGATCTGGTGCCCGCTGTTTACTCCGGACACAGTGAAATACAGATTGTCGGACGGGACCTCTGTACGAGGTCCCGATCATGTGATCACTGATTGGCCAATCAGTGATCACATGCAAAGTAGTAAGCAAGATGCCACTTCTGACATCATTGCTTACTACGTGTGAAAACTGTGAGTGATCACAGAGGTCACATGGTACAAGGCTATTCACAACAGCCTTGTACCATGTGACAAGCTGTGACCAATCACAGCTCACTCAGTAGTTCTCAATGGCTGCAAGAATGCAGACAGAGAGAAAGAAATGATTGCTTTTACATCCTATATAGGTGTAAAAGCAATCAGTGTAGAAAAAAAAAAATCTTCATCACCCCCCAAAAGTAGTACAGTATCACCATGGTGACACTGTATTGCTAGGGTGACAGTATGTAAAAAAAAAAATAAAAATAATAAAATAAATAATATTAAAAAAAAATAAAAATGTAAAAAAAAATGTTTAAAAATTATAATTTTTGGTTATAAACTAATTTGCCTTTTTTTTTTTTAACTAAAAAGATAAGGGAATAAATTTTGGCCAAGATTTATGATGAAATATTATTTATTTGCAAAATTTTATAAGAAAAACACTTTTTTTCAAAATTTTTGGACATTTTCATTTACATAGCAAAAAAGTAAAAATCCCAGCGGTGAATAAATAACACCAAAATAAACTTTTATCTGTCTCAAAACAATGGTAAAAAATTCATATGGGTACAGTGTTGCATGACCGCGCAATTGTCATTCAAAGTGTTATAGCACTGAAAGCTGAAAATTGCCCTGGTCAGGAAGAGGGTAAAAGTGTCCGGACTGGAAGTGGTTAAATATTAAAAATATTTTGCCATAAAATTATAGTATATGTGTTTCTATGTCAGAAAAGCATCTTTTTCATATTTTTTTAACATTTTCCAGATCCTGCCAGGAGCATCTTGATCTTGTACAACTGCTTTGAAGAAGTGACTTGACCTTGTATGCATTGCCGTAATTTTTTTGCCTTTGGACGCTTCCTTAACTGCCAGAGCAATATTTTGCTGTTATTTCTAAAGGTATGGAACCTAAATCTCAGAGTGTTTTATTCTTATTTTTTTTTGTTTATTTTAGGCACAGTGTAAATATTTATGTCAACTACTTTAGGTATGTGTCCCTGTTGGAAAGATTTTCCATTACTTCCCTGCCATTTTTCCACCTTCTATCAAAAAGATGAGACTTAAGCTGGAGCTAGGCTTTATTATTTTAGGGTCTGTTTAAACCCTTTTAGTTATTTAACGCGCACCAAACACAGGACGACGCCACATGAAATGCACACTGATAAATATGGGTGCAGAAAGATTAGGTGTGATTTGTCCTAAGTACTCAACTTCGCTGTTGTCAAATTGCTTTCTCTTCTGTGACACAGCTCAACGTATGAGTTTGCCAAAACTCAGATTTGCTCTCCATTTCACAGCCTGTACTTTGTTCTGAATCTCAGGGCTGGGTGGCCATATGGGGGACTGCTGGCAGAAGTGATCAAACCGCTGTAAAGCTGCACTTCTGTCTGCTAAAAAGGAAAGTGTAGTGCCCAGAAAAGAGTCCTCCTTCTACACCAACCCCCCCAGCTGGTGCATTACAGCAACCAAGCAGGCAGTCACTGGTCTTGGACAAGTCTCAGCCTGCAGGACTACTTGGAGAGTAGAGAACACCATTGTCTTCATCAGTGCTGGCTCTGTCCTGGACTCCTACTGATGCCTCCTGCAAGTGCTAATTGGAACCCAGTTTCTTCAGTGGCTCCAGTTCTAGCACTGAGGAGGGTCCAGGGAGGCGAGCACTCTCATGGTGCTGCTCGACGCAGACTGGGAAATAGAGCTCTAGTGGAACTCTGCAACAATACATCTCCTTGCACAGTGACTGGATGTACCTTGCCAGGAGGGAACAAGCTGCTTGTTCTGCTGGTGCATCAAACTATAACTCCCAATCAACCCCTTCCCGTCACTTCTGCGTATGACACCACTACCACCTCTCATCACAGTGGGACACCACCACCGCTTTCTACACTAGACTTGACATCGCTATTCAACAAAATTCACCTTTTACAGTGGTGCGTGTGCATATTCCCTGCAACCCCTTCCCTGTTTGAACCACTATCTAGAAGAGGGCCCAAGTAAGAAAACCTGTCTATTGTCACTCCAGAGTACCACCATCACCACACCAAAGCCGCCATTACCTGCTTCCCAAAGTGACAAGCAAGTAGCTTTGCTTCATTTAAATTAATATATCTGTCGGTCATAACTGGAGAAATATGTGAGAGTCCTGGAAAGTCCAAGTAGGGACAAGCAAGTTTAACCCCTCTATTTGTACTGGTGAAACAGTTTCACCTAAAAAGAGAGTTTGGGAAACAATTTTAGAGCTGTCCCTAGAACAACAGATAACGGGAAATCTTCTAATGGGGACATTAGTTTTGTGGACAGTTGTCTACAAGGGGAACGCCCCTCAATTTGGGAGATTCCCTCTCACTTCCTGTTGCATCACTGACAGGAGGTGAAGAGAAATTCACCAGTGGTACACACAGTGAAAAATAAACTTGCAGGAGTTTTAGACTTTACCTGCTCTAACCAACACTGGTTATACATATACTTTAAATCTTGTCACTTTACTATAAAATGAGAATACATTAGAGCCTGTGATACCCTGCTAAGAAAGCCTGAGCTAAACACACTATTGGGGCTCTTGGACAACTGCCTTACTCATTTTACAAGTGAAACACGTAAATTAATTTTGACAGTTTACAGTATTTCTTACTAGGCATTTGTTCTGTTTCAGATAGCAGTGAAATGAAAAAAAAATATGAGGGGCATTATTAAAGATATTTAGAAATATTAATATTTGTACTTGTCAAAAAATGCAAATGAAATGCTTCTGTGCCAGCGCTATGGAAATATTGTGTGAGATTTGCCTATGGAGAGTAGAAAGAACTGGCTTCCATCCTTGTTTGCTATATTATTGTGCGACAGAACATATAGCCCCTGCCATTTTGCTTCTGGGCACTGTTACTTTTATTTTTGTGATCTCAGTGATCAATAATTGATCTTATAAAGTGATAATGAAAACAGGTTTTTTGTTTTAAAACTTTTATTAGCATGTTAATGGGATGTGGAAAGAGTGAGAGAGGCACATATAAGCAGATTAACTTTCAACTTTAATCTATGCTTTAATGTGCTTTCATTAGAAGGAAGCATCTTTATATATTTGTAACATTTTCTAGGTCTTGCCAGGAGCAATCTGAAGAAGTGACTTGACCTTGTATGCATTGCCATCGTCTTTTGCCAAGACCTTTTAAACCTTCTTTAACTGGCAGAGCAGTATTCTGCAGGTATTTGTACAGGTACGGAACTTAAATGTTGGCATACATTTGTCTTGTCCTTATTCAATCTAGACCAGTGTAAATATCTAGATCAGCCATTTTTTTTTGTCCCATGCTAATTTCTGTTGGATTTGACTTGGAAATCACTGTAAGATGTTGTAAGATGTCATGAAATCTTTAGGGTGTAGTTCTTTAGATCAATTTAACAAAGGTAGCATGGTTCCGTGGTACACATCCAAGCCCAGAATGTTTAGTTTTTTGATGGTATATGCTGAAGAGAATGTTTAAAACAAAACGTTAATTAGCAAGTGCTTCTTTTTACAGTGATTTGAAAGTCACCATCTCGGAGTCATGGAGATGCCGTCGTATTACACCAAACTTCTTGGAGAGCTGAATGAGCAGCGTAAGAGAGATTTCTTCTGTGACTGCAGCATCATTGTAGAAGGCCGAATATTTAAAGCACACAGAAATGTTCTGTTTGCAAATAGTGGTTACTTTCGGGCCATGTTAGTTCACTACATTCAAGACAGTGGAAGGCATAGCACTGCATCTCTGGACATTGTCACTTCTGAGGCCTTCTCTACCATCCTGGATTTTCTATACTCAGGGAAGTTAAACCTGAGTGGAGAGAATGTAATTGAGGTTATGAGTGCAGCAAGCTACCTCCAAATGACGGATGTTGTTAACTTTTGTAAGGCTTACATACGGTCTTCTCTCGATATCTGCAGGAAAATAGAAAGGGAGAGTTCTTTTGGACAGGCTGATAGTGGCAGTGATGGTGTAAATGGTGGCAGAGCAACACTTGGAAATATAACTGTAAAAACAGGTCAGGGGGACTGTCAGAAGGAAGCACCCTGTGGAGACTGTAGTAGCTGCAATTCTGTGGAAGTGATGGTGAAGGATCCCACAAGTGCAGGCTCTCCAGAAGAAAAAAGTCCTACTAAAACAGTGGAACCCAAAGAGGAGTTTGATTCTGATGTTGTGGAAGTGACAGAAGGTATCCAACCTTATCAGATACAAGCTGGCATGGAGCAGGGTGAAGAAAGTCCTCAGGGTAGTTCCAATATGGACCTGGCATGTAATAATTATCACATGAAGCAATTTTTAGAGGCTCTCCTCCGCAACAGCTCTGCACAGAGAAAAGATGATCAAGGGCATCATTTCCCACGTGATTATGAGTCCCGGCAAGAGGAAGGAAGTGTCTCAATGAGTAATATGATGGACATTCAGGGAGACTGGTATGGTGAAGATACAGGTAATGGAGCAAACTAAAATGGTCCTTATTTAAAGTATATCATTATGTTTTGTTTGTTTGAAGGACAGTTTTTTGCTGTGTATTTCAATGCACTCTTAAGAAGTTGGTGTACAGTAATATTGGTGTCAGTGGACACAATATTATCCCCCAACTTTAGTGTCAGTGAGTGCAATACCCCTAACATTGGTGTCAGTGGATGCATTAATAGCCCCTGACATTGGTGTCAGTGGATGCAATAATCGCCCCAAAGATTGGTGTCAGTAAGTGCTATAATCCCAAACATTGGTGTCAGTGAGTGCAATGATGACCCCCAGCACTAGTGGCAGTAAAATTGAACCCTTCCCCCACATACCTGATTACATGGTCCTATGCTGGTCTTTCTCCTGTCTCTCCCTGAAGCTGTGTACCCCGCCTCACAGTACAGTCGTTATATTTGTCAATGCATAGATACATATACCAATAATGTTTCTATCAATCTATGTTTTTATTATTTTTCCATTGTACTATGGGCTATGAATGCTACGGTCGGATATGGTCCTTGTTCCAGATAAGGAATAATAAGGGGCAGATCTGTGTAATTTGATGGCTTTTTAAGACTAGGTCTTCATGTTTGAGTATGTGTTGGGGGGATGCTCCAGTGATAATTTGTTATCTGAGAGAAATCTTAGGTTCAGGATAATGATTTTAAGCCAAGGTTGTTTAATGGGCCAACCTGTTCCTCTTTTCATGCTGTATGCATTGTAGCTTTCCCTGTAGCTGCATATTTCTTGCTATTACCATAACCTACTGGCAAAGAACAAACAAAAATAATTTCTCCTGCTCCTGGCGATCACAGCGATACTACATGTTTTTTTAATATTTTTCTCCATTCAAGAGGAGAGAAAAAACACAGGGGTGAGCTGAACAGTGACTGATCACTGTGATAGCCAATCAGAGACTATAACAGTGATCGGGAAGCCTGGTTCCTGATTGTTAGTACAAAACTCGGAGCTCTTGGTGAGCGTCCAGTCTCTGTGCTGGGAGCACGCTGTGCAGCGTGTTCTCAGCACAAACACAGGTACGCATATATGCAGACCCACGGATAAAGACCTACTTCTGGGACTTCATATATATGTGGAGACTTGGTGGAAAAGGGTTAAAGGAAATATATGGTCACAGCATTCACTTTCATTTGATAATTTTAGCATTGTAACTGCAATACAGTAATTTTGACAATGAAATATAAGCTTACTTATACGTACTCTTTCCACAACTTCATGGATCTCTGCATGCTTTGCAGGTTCTCCTCTGCTGTTTACTATCAATTTATATGGACTATGTATCCCATGGTACCTTGCTGTCTGCAACTTGTGATTCCTGTAATAACTCCTGAAGCTCTTCCTCTTAGTAGCTTTGTAGTTCAGAAGGCAGGCTCTGTGAAGTCTATGACACAGCAGCGTCTAACCAAAGTAAGTCTACCCAAAAATAGTGAATACGTATCACAGAATGTAGAGGAGGTAAATGTGTGAGGAGCACAGAGTAAGTTTACAAACTTCAAGATCATTCAGATTTAACCTTTTGCCACCCACTCACAGCACATTTACTACGGGTGGCAGCTGCAGGCTCAGCAATGAATATGAATTCTGGTTGAGAATTGCGGACCCTTCAGCTGCATCAACCACTAAAGCTATTTTGAATTTTTGCAAGAAAAACTTTATAGTACATTGTTCACAATTTGAAAAATGTGACAGCAAGCAGACAGCATCTCACATTTTTCTTTCAGGTGATGTTTTAGTTGTTCCAATCAAGCTACACAAGTGCCCGTTCTGCCCATACACAGCAAAGCAAAAAGGCATTCTGAAACGTCACATTCGATCACATACAGGAGAGCGCCCATACCCATGTGAAATCTGTGGTAAGAGGTTCACGCGGCAGGAGCATCTGCGGAGCCATTCACTCACTGTGAGTATATTCATATAAAGTATATGTTACTACATACTGTGTGTCATTTTTTTATATACAGTGGGGATCGAACGTTTGGGCACCCCAGCTAAAAATTTGTATTAATGTGCATAAAGAAGCCAAGAAAAGATGGAAAAATCTCCAAAAGGCATCAAATTACAGATTAGACATTCTTATAATATGTCAACAAAAGTTAGATTTTATTTCCATCATTTACACTTTCAAAATAACAGAAAACAAAAAAATGGCGTCTGCAAAAGTTTGGGCACCCTGCAGAATTTATAGCATGCACTGCCCCCTTTGCAAAGCTGAGACCTGCCAGTGTCATGGATTGTTCTCAATCATCGTCTGGGAAGACCAGGTTATGTCAATCTCAAAGGTTTTAAGTGCCCAGACTCATCTGACCTTGCCCCAACAATCAGCACCATGGGTTCTTCTAAGCAGTTGTCTAGAAAACTGAAACTGAAAATAGTTGACGCTCACAAAGCTGGAGAAGGCTATAAGAAGATAGCAAAGCGTTTTCAGATGTCAGTATCCTCTGTTCGGAATGTAATTAAGAAATGGCAGTCATCAGGAACAGTGGAAGTTAAAGCAAGATCTGGAAGACCAAGAAAAATATCAGACAGAACAGCTCGCAGGATTGTGAGAAAAACAATTCAAAACCCACGTTTGACTGCACGATCCCTCCAGAAAGATCTGGCAGACACTGGAGTTGTGGTACACTATTCCACTATAAAGATACTTGTACAAATATGGTCTTCATGGAAGAGTCATCAGAAGAAAACCTCTTCTACGTCCTCACCACAAAAATCATCGTTTGAACTTTGCAAATGAACATATAGACAAGCCTGATGCATTTTGGAAACAAGTTCTGTGGACTGATGAGGTTAAAATTGAACTTTTTGGCCGGAATGAGCAAAGGTACGTTTGGAGAAGAAGGGGCACAGAATTTAATGAAAACAACCTCTGTCCAACTGTTAAGCATGGGGTTGGATCAATCATGCTTTGGGGTTGTGTTGCAGCCAGTGGCACAGGGAACATCTCACGAGTAGAAGGAAAAATGGATTCAATAAAATTTCAGCAAATTTTGGATGGTAACTTGATGCCATCTGTGAAAAAGCTGAAGTTAAAGAGAGGATGGCTTCTACAAATGGATAATGATCCTAAACACACCTCGAAATCCACGGGGGATTACATCAAGAGGCGTAAACTGAAGGTTTTGCCATGGCCTTCACAATCTCCTGACCTCAGCATAATTGAAAATCTATGGATAGACCTTAAAAGAGCAGTGCGTGACAGACAGCCCAGAAATCTCAAAGAACTGGAAGACTTTTGGAAGGAAGAATGGGCAAAGATACCTCAAACAAGAATTGAAAGACTTTTGGCTGGCTACAAAAAGCGTTTACAAGCTGTGATACTTGCCAAAGGCGGCAGTACAAGATATTAACTCTGCAGGGTGCCCAAACTTTTGCAGGCACCATTTTTTTGTTTTCTGTTATTTTGAAAGTGTAAATGATGGAAATAAAAATCTAACTTTTGTTGACATATTATAAGAATGTCTAATCTGTAATTTGATGCCTTTTGGAGATTTTTCCATCTTTCCTTGGCTTCTTTATGCACAATAATACAAATTTTTAGCTGGGGTGCCCAAACTTTCGATCCCCACTGTATATATATAAACACACACACACACACAGTGAAGGAAATAAGTATTTGATCCCCTGCTGATTATTATTATTATACAGTATTTATAAAGCGCCAATAGTTCGCTCAGCGCTGTACATTACAAAGGGGGACAGAACATGTGACAGAACAATACCAATACAATGCAAAACGTGAGGGGATTGATTTTGAATGTTTGCCCACTCACAAAGAAATGATCAGTCTAAAAATCGAATGGTAGGTGTATTGTAACACTGAGAGACAGAATAGCAACAAAAAATTCAAAACAAATGCATGTCTAAGAAATTATGCACTGATTTGCATGTTCATGAGGGAAATAAGTATTTGATCCCTTCACAAAACATTACTTAGTACTTGGTGGCAAATCCCTTGTTGGCAATCACAGAGGTCAGAAGTTTCCTGTAAATTAAAAATTACAAATGTGCTTACTTGTGAGCTACTATGGTAAATCGTGATTAAATTAATCAATTTATTAAATAAACCCACCTGTGGTTCGCTGACACTCACACTAACTCATCAAATAGTGCTATGTAACTAAAAATAATATATAAAGCAGTGTTGCGCTCCTATATACTAATAAAAGTTAATAAAAATTAAAAAATTAATAAAAATTAGAGATTAATAAAATTATGCTGTGTATCACATATATCACTCTATACATATATATTACTGTTTTAATTATTCTTATTGAAAACAAAAAATCATTTCGATATATCCAAGTCCATATTTGAAAATTATTTTAAGTCTAAGTATAATAGTAATAATAAATGTGCACAAAGTCCCCTTCCAATTAGTTCAGCATCAAAAAGTGCCACTCCCAAAATCCATGTGCAATGTGTGCTCAGTATGCGCTCACCTTGTGTTTTGCCTAAGATAATAGGCAAAAAACGCTTGTTGTCCTCATAGGACTGATGTAACCATATTCCTCCTTTTGTAAAAATTCCTCCAGATATAAAATGGTCCGTTGTAATAATATGTTATTCCACCTGGGGTCTCTCCACTCTATCAATATACTGTATAGAGGAGATGGATGGATCTCTCCCTTTTCCCTCCAGGGGACTCCCTCCACCTTTAAATAGCCTCTGTTCGATGTATCTCAGATGGGTATCATAGGAGAAAAACAGAAACCATGGTGCCTTATCCTTTTTAAATGGTAATTTATTAGTGATCAGATTTGCCACTCACATGATAACATTCTTCCATGAGCTAGTAAGAGCATTGCCTGTAGTATCTTCTATACTCGCCGTACTGATCCGAGACAACGTCGTGATGTCAGAGCCCCTCCCCTACACGTTGCGTCACCAGGTCACGTGACCTCAGGGGGATAAGATTGGACATCACAACTTTCATAGCTATATTTATATATGACGGACGCCATTTTATTGTAGTCCGCGTGCATGCAGTCATTTTCCTAAGGTCTCATTTCTATGTGATGTATCCTCCAGTTATTGCATGCATCGGACTATAATTGATAAAACTATTACTCTGTGTTGTCCGACGTAGACGGACTATTTGGCTGTATACCATGATATCCAGGCTTATGCTTATTCACTATGTGCATCATATATAGCAATTCCCAATTATATTATAATTATGTTAAAAACAACCAACCGTATTGTTAAAATCATTATATGCTAAAATACCTTTAATCTTATTTTTTAAAATTTCTCTATCACTAATTATTTTTAATCACCCCGTACATATCATTAATTATAACAATTATATCTTATTAAAAATACATATTATAAAAAGCTAAAATTGTTTTAGAAAATTCATACAACTCAGAGTTACATATAATACATAAAATTCTGAAAAGGGGGTATAATGTGATATTTCTGATAGCATATCCCCATACTCTTATTCTGTGTGTCCACGTCTATATATGAATCCATCTAAATTGCACCTAAATAATTATTAATTCACCTCCTAGTGGTGGATCCTAATCTCTACTACCCCTTAGGACATTGTAATGGATATTTAAATAAGATAAAGCATACTAATGGTAAAAAATACAATTAAAAAATATATATTATACTTCATCTCATTATTATATAAATATATGCTTGCTATAAGTTAAAATATTTAAAATCTAATGTTATCCCAACATGATATTTAAAAATTATCGATAAAGCATGTCAAATCAAATTCTTTATTTAACCCATTCGGGGCTAAACATCCCATTTCATATATCCACTTGGATTCCTTTTTACTTATTTCTCTAATGATATTGTCACCTCTCCAGTGTTGGGGGTGTTTTTCTATACCCCAAAATTCTAAACCACTAGCATCTTTGTTATGGTATCGCTTAAAATGCTGTGACACATGATGGTATTTATAGCCTCTGTTTATATTGTATACATGTTCCTTAATGCATTCCCTCAGTAATCTCTTAGATTACCATAGCATAGATTACCCCTTTAGTGTCACAAGATATAAACTGTCAAATTTTATACTCTTTCCCATTATTGCTATTATTAAATGTAAACCTTCGTCTGGGATTGTGTGTTACTCTGCTGCAACTGTAACATCTACCACACGCATAAAACCCTATGCCTTGAAAAGAACTAATATTATTATTCCTGACTGGAGGTTCTAATATACTTTTCACAACCTTATCTTTTATAGTAGGGGCTTTTTTATATATGAATCTCGGTTTTTCTGGAATAATATTTTTTAATTGTTTATCCAGTTGTAAAATCTTCCAATGTTTATTGATTATTTTTTGAACTGCTTTATACTGTTTATTGTAATGTAGCACTACCGATAATTCCTCTTCTTTAGTATTCTTCTTCGGTTTATTGGACAGCATATCCATTCTATTCATCAATCCCACCTTTTTTCTCTCTTCCTCTACTCTCTCTTTATTATATCCTTTTTTAATAAATCTCTCAGTATTAGACTCTGTTCTACATAATCTTCATGTTTAGTGCAATTCCTCTTGAGCCTCATAAATTGGCCTCTGGGTATGTTATTAAGCCATGATTTATGATGGCAACTATTTATTGGGATGTACGCATTCCTATCTGTTGTCTTAAAATAATTTTTTGTATACATTAGGGATCATTCTTTAAAAATTTGGATGTCCAAAAAATTAATTTTTTCCTTATGTATAACCCAACTCAAGAAGTTTCCTGTAGTTGGCCACCAGATTTGCACACATCTCAGGAGGGATTTTGGCCCACTCCTCTTGGCAGATCCTCTCCAAGTCATTAAGGTTTGGTGGCTGACGTTTGGCAACTCAA